CGATCGCAATAGTAGGCACTTTCGGTCGGGCATTTATTCCCGGTTTTGTGAGGCGCGCATTGTTGATGACTCACAAATAGGATGAAACTGTTGTACAGTGATTCCCGAATTTCCAATGAAGATTGGCTTCAGAGGAGGGATGTTTTCATCGGGTCGCGAAACTTATTACTTAGAAGTGGTCACTCGTGGAGCTCGCTAACAGGTGACCATGAAATGCGGTTTTCCGTGATTGAAGGATGGGCGGCAATATGGCTAATTTTGGTGAGAGCTAATCACACTACCGACGCGCCGGACGGACTAAACGGTCAAGTGCTGCACGCACTAGTTGGACCGTCACGATTTCGGTTCGAAACTACCTGGATTTTAATGAGGTGCGCACCGGTGTTGATTTCTAGTAAGGAGGAATTAGCTTCGCGGTTCTCCTAAGCTTTTGGGCATTAAATGCCTCTACTTTCACGAAGAAATCTCCGAAAAATCTCCAATATGGTTCAAACAGTAAACTCCTTGGGGCTGAAGCTTTCCTCATTATTGCTGTGGAACGCGAGAGCAATTTGAACAGCACATCTGAGGAGAGTCCGAATCCCATCGGTGTCTAACCCGCAGTTTAGAGGCCTTCATGGATAATTCAATCTAATGCTTGCCACCAAATAGCGGAAATGCTCATCAGGTAATTGACAGATTCGTCAGGGTTTAGCCAAATTCCATCGGGTAGTCTGCATGGAGCAACTTTGACTGTGCTAAATAACACTGATTGCAATAAGGCAACCTGAAAATGATCACAGCAAACCGGATTTCGGCGAATACTGCCTAGATAATCCGTCGACGACAATTACTCGCATAGCGCACCGGTCCAGTCTTATCGAGTGTTTACCTTGGAGGGGAACTTTGGTTTTACGTGTGGTCGATATCTGAAAGCTGCCCAAAAAACCTGCATGCACTAAACGGAATGACTGTAAGCCTGTATCACAACCAGTTGAACCGCAATGCATGCACTTGGAATTGACGAGAACGGACACGACTTACTGTAGTTGAACTACTGGCAGGTGAATAGGTATACATGAATCTCACTCACTTCGGTTTTTGTCCTACTGGTTTATAGTCAAGTACAAGTTCTCGGCGATGGCGGAAAACGCACTGGATTCGGGATACAAAATAGATATTTGGAATGATGAGGATTTCGGGGCGAGGACTACGGTCCACGTCACAGAGACGGATAGCCGGAGCGACAGAAATCGCCAAGCATCCCAGTGTTACCAGATTAGAAAGCGATGAACTGAAAACGTGTGGAGATCTCTTTTGGATCGGTCGAGCTGACACGCATTGGTGTGCCGTTATCAGAAGGAAGAGAAGTGATTGTCTGAATTCCACTTGACCTCAGCCCACCTGCTCAAACCAAATTCCGAGAGCACCCACAGCCCCACCAAGACCAAGAAAAATCTACCAATGGAAACCGAGATCAATCTTCAATAAAAGCACCCTGAATTGGAAGATTAACAAATCCGATCAGATCAGAACTCATTCGAAATTCCCTCGATCCACAAAGGTAAGCGTTGGACAACCACAGTAACCGACAAGATACAAAACAAAATAACTTGTCCATAGTCACAAAGGTTCGTAATTCGTCTTATCAACGAAATTTATCAAGCCACTGAACTTGTCTACCGTTTCACTGCCGAACCACTGTATAATATATGGGGCAGGACACAGAGGATGAAGTCAAATGGTTCAAAGCTCACGCCACTTCAAGGGTAGTGACGTGATTTCACGAGCACGCGTGTGTTTATTGCGTTTTCACGTTTCACTTTGATGTTTTCCAAGAATAACTGCCCCGAACGCGTTAACGGAAGCACATCTTCAGCTTTGCCATACTCAAGCAATGCCAAATGAAAATAACTAGCACGGTGAAACCATTGCGATCAATTCTCTTCCCGCATTCACTGATGTATCTACGAAAATTTCCGTTAACCAGATGACGTCCAAATCTGAATACACAAATTGATTCACCTTTTAACATATTCAAGCATTGTGAGTAGTTTACAATGATTCGGTTGATTCTTCGATACCCAGGGCAACGAACACAAGCTCTTATCGAATGCACAATATGATAAACACACGTACAGATTCGAGGCTCTCTTGCGTAAACTTGCAGTCTCCTAAAGAAAGGTGGCCAAAATTTAACGAATAAATGCTAGCAAAACCCGACATCTGGGCGAGCAGTAACCATGACCGGCGCCTAGTTACACACCCAACATTTCAAGAGACCCCATTTTGTATGAAGTTTTAAAAATTCGTTGTATTTAGTCGTAGCCCTAATAGCTATCTCAACGCTCACACATTTCAACAAGTGTTCTTTGAAACGAAACCACGTTGGATTTTCTGCAAGATATGGTTGATAACCGATGTCACTCGCGTCCTTGTGGTTAATGTCTATCCAGAAACAAGGTTATACTTCAGCTCCGCCGAAAAACCGGCCTTCGGAATTTCAGTTTGGCTTGGGCGCCCAGGATAGTTCGGTGCACAAGGCTAGAAATTACTGACCGTTTGTCTAATCCAGCCTCGGTATTTCGACTGGTCCTGTTCAGATCTGGGCTCCAAAGTAATTGCTCATCCCTTGTGCTTCCCTTGGGCATTATAATGGTTGCATACCAAGACGGTGCTGCAGCTGAAGTATTACTAATTTAATTATGTTCGCAACCTTATAACTGCTATTTTGTCGCTTACAAGTGCGAAATATATTCCGTTTTCATCTATCGAGTATGCCCTGAAATAAGGTTTAATCCTGCCCGATGTGTCAACAACACCGGGGCAAGCCAGCCAAACAGCAATCCAGTCACAAGAATTGCTGGGGCTGAAGATGGAATTTGATCTTACGGGTCGTCCGGATGCCCAACACCTCCCCAATGTACAAACTCCTACCTAGAATTTCTGGTGGCCAGTGCAGACGTAACGTTGAGCCTCAGATATTCAGTGGTTCTTTTATTCACTGTTCTGTGAATATTTCCCCTGCATTTTGGGCCAAAGAGTCATTGGTCACGCTGTTTTTTTCGGAGAATGCAGTTTCCCCCCCGTTGGCGGACCTTGAGCTTCGAGTTCAAAAGCCCATCTTCGACAGTCCGTGAAACCTCCATTAATCCTAATCCTCAGCAGCTGAAAATTAGTTTATTGACAAGTCAATTGGGGAATGTTCGAGACCGATTGGGAATTCATCGTTTCGGTTAGGTTGGGTGAGCAATCGGCGGATTTATTTCTAGGCACATCTCGCTTTTGACACAGAAGCTTCGTCAGACAGTCAGGGAACCAATGATAATTCGTATGACTAGCCGACCTGATCAGTGCTGGGTGTTTAGTATGATGTTGCTGTTTGTTGGTCGGTGGGGATGACTCCCGTTTGCGAAGGATTGGTAAAGGGAGTATTTTCCTTCATTATGAGCCCGGATATTTCGTCCTTGAATTTTCAGTCTAGGACACCCTAATGGAAAATCCTCTTCGGTCCTTCATAGATTTCTTTCACCTTTGTTCATCAAAGGTGCCGGGCCTATTGGTTTCAAAATGGTGAATTGGGTCTAACCCTACTTGGCCTTTGCACTTTCAGACCCACACCGTTCCGCTGATAGCTGCACACCGCCTGGTGTCATCCCGGCTGATCTGAGACAGCTTTCTACACGTTTTCGTGTTCTACCGCCTCTAGTCATTTTACGCTGGATGCTGGGCGATTTTTACCTACTAGAACACCGGTCGCTGCGGTGTGAATCTTAAACCACGTTTCAATGTCCACACCTTCTAAATCTATCCTAGCCAAATGTCTAATGCATGCCCTGATATTGCCGGATCTTTGACTGTCGCCGGTATTCATCTTCGTTGTCGGTGATCCATAAGTTGAACGCGAATGCTCATCGATTCTGAAGTGCAATTACCCGGTTGTCTATAATCCAATATAAACCTTTGTACAGTCTTTCTGTTTCATTTCGTATGCAGAGTTCCTTCTCCCGTCAAACGGAAACCGATTCTTCAAATACGCTAACACTGAGCGTATAGTCTTTCTCTTCTGGATTGCAACTGTAAACTTAGCCGTATTCAGTAGCCTTCCAATGTCTTCAGATGTCCCTGTTTTGTATGGAATAAGTTCCAGGAATCCGGTCTTCTTTGCACCAGATTTTACGAGTGTTCGTGCCCTCTGAATGTAGGTGAGGTGCGTCGGACTTATCTGTACTTCTGTACACCGGTTAAGCATACATGGTGGACATTGTCACACTCATCGTTCTAGAATTGCCATTCCGCTGTAAGCTACGGCGTGATACACTGGATTCGTTCTTGTTGTTCCGAAATTGACGTTTTAAAAGAGGTCGTAAAACTCAACTTGTTATTGGAAGCACATCCATTCAGTTCACTTTTGCACACACAAACATCTTATCATGCTCTTAAGAACCTTCATAATCCTCAAGTCATTTTTCATCAAAACGAGGCTTACCGTTGGTGCATTAATATCACTTTTAGCTTTTACGGCTTTTAAGCGTTTCCCATTGCTTCCAAATCAAAACAGGACAAAAGGAAATCCTGCTACATGCATTTCCGTCACACGAATTGTTGGGGCTAAAATGGAATTTGATCTCACGGGTTGTGCGGATGCCCAACACCTCCCCAATGTAAAAACTCCTAGCTATACTTTCTGGTGGCCAGTGCAGGCGTAACGTTGAGTCTCAGATATTCAATGGTTCTTTTGACCACTGTTGTGTGATAATGTGCCCTGCATTTTGACGTAATTGCAGGCCACCGTGTCAACGGTAGCGCTGGTTTCCATGTTCAGAATGCGGTTTCCCCGTCGGTGCCGGTGGATTTTGACGAGTGCAAATACAGTCGTAGGGCAGTTGAGTGGGGTTCAATAGCACGTCTTAGACAGCTGTTACGTATTGAAGAGATCTACCGCGAGGAATCTGAAGTCTGAATATGATGCCTCGCTGTTCGCTTTTTATTGCGTTCTACTTCTGCGTTTGGCATGCTGCATGGTTCGAAGCCGCCGCCGTTCTCATTTGGTCATCCTTGTTAAACAATTGTCCGTCAAACAACTGGGTTGTCCTTGTTGTCCTTGTCCTTGTCCTTCCAATACCTGCGAAGACTATCGAAATCAGGTAGGTTTCAGTTGATATTTTATCCAGTTTCAGGCTCAAAGTTGTACGTGGATCCGCAAGCAAGGGTTTCCGTAGTGAGAACTTACACTAATGTTCCCCGAAACTGTTGTACCCCACCTACTTTTCCCCATGGCTGTAATGTTTCATTCGAAAAGGCCTTGAGTAGAAGCCACAACTGATGGACATACAAATGGACACACGTTGCGTGACTTATGGTCGTTTTCATGGGTAATTCCTTGTCGTGATCGATATTTCGCTTTCGGCTGGATCGACTCTCGTGTCCTATTAAATTCAGATGTTACTGAGACGCATACCGTGGTTGACGTCATTCAGAAGCTAACATCCCCTATAGTTGTTTCAATTTTAGTTATGGTAGTAGAAATCACTGCCTGCCATTAGGAGGTTTGGGCTTGTGAAAAAGGAAAATTATAATGATTAGATGGTCTGCCAGCCTAAATTTTTATATGACCTAGCTTTGTGGCTTCATCATATTGGAGAAACTGTCCTAGACTCCGCAGTACCTTAGCCTAGAGTGACCTGATTAATATATCAGGTCCCAGAAATCCCAACAAAGACCTCTCACTTCGGTTGTTAACGCCAATCAAATCGTTTTCGTAAGCACCAGAATTGCAACGAACTGTAAGTCAATATTTCGAAACGACTTGTTATGTCCGAGTGGTGTGTATTGAGAAGAAATATATGAAATGCCACATTGGTTAAAATCATTTGACCGTACGTGCCGCATCTACATGAGTTTGTGTGAGATTCTTATGCAAAATGATACACATATTGATTGTGTCTTTGTCCATTCTTAAGATTCTATAAATAATATTTTATTGCAGCGTGATTATTTATTTAGTCTAGAAACGAACGACAGAATCGGACATTTACTATTAAAGTCAAGGGATACCAAGATCGTAGAGCGCCAGTACGCATTTTGATGTTATGAGACTTGACGAAATGTGAAGTTGTGGTCCACACAAACTTTTTCCAGGCTAGAATAGTTTTGCCTGTTCTCGAGCCCTGCCTTCGAAATCCTTTGTGAATCCTTTGTTCAGGAAATATTCCGGAAAAGCACGCTTATTCCTAAATAGTAGCTACACTCATCGTTGGCCTAATCGAGACAACTCAGCTTGTATAGCCAGGTTATTCCGACAGTGGGAGGCACGTAGGTTAGAAAATCGATGAGAATTATTCCACTTCCATTTTGGAACCGAGTGATTTTGAGTTTTTCCGGACGAAAAGCTTAAAGGCGCTTGCAGTTGAACACGAAACTAATTATTTCTGAAGCCTTCGGAGGTTACTCTTTCAGTGACAGTTTTCCAATTTGGAAGCCTTAGTCAATCGATTGATTGTTAAAATTTGTAATCTAATGATTGGTCATGCATCCCAATGATTGCTAAGCTTATGGAAGTTCATTTCGAGGCTTTTAACTTTGCTAGCTGGCACAGGAAAAACAAGATCTAAGTGTTCATTTCTTCGTTTTCATCTTCAGCATTTTGAGCCCACAAGGATTCTCAACCGATGGAGGTGCTCTGTTTTTGCCAGTCGTCTGTCTGTACATTTAGTGATAGCTTACTCACTCACTAAAGGGGAAATTTCATGATCACTACCTTATTCTTAGCAAAAAATCGGTTTGATGAAAAAAATCAGATCGGTTTGATGAAAACTGGCGTTTGATCTCTTACTAACCTGAATCATCAGCTGCCACTAAGAACTTTAGCTGGTGACAGAGATTAAATACCGTGCAAACTATTCAGCCGTCAATGTGAAACAGTTTCAAACACTTGAAAATTTCACTACCGAAAGCATCATAAATATACTTTCAAGCTTGATGACGAGCACTGAACTTACATCTCCTCAATCCTAAATTGATGCACATTAGTCGTTATCCCCAAAATTTCTATGAAAAACACCTTTAAGAGTTCATCGCAAAAGCATTTTTTGAGGGCTGACGTAATAGCCATGAAGGAAAATTGACTCATTTGATAGTGCCCGAGGACAATCACCCAATAGTTGCTGCCAACAAATTTGGATTTGACACTCTAACGACGAACTGAGGTCTTTCGCTTTCTTGAGGATATGCCTGTCAAACTGCGTTCCCAAATAGAGTGGAGTGCTAGAAGATTACACCACTGATCAGCTGCTCCTGGCCAAATGGCTGAGGCTTTAAACGATGTTCAGTAGTATGCGGGCTGGAGTCTCTTTGGACCGGCATCAGATGCACTCCACAGATAATCCCTGCTGAAAGTAGGTCAGTTGCCTGGTTGATATGGACCTTTCGGTAGACCTGTACCCCACCGGAATGATAAAATCTCGCTCGGAATTCTCAAAGAATTCCATTGAAGGGTCAGCAATGTGCTCCAGATGATTTATTTCGGGAACTGATATTCCAATAGATGTGGACGATCTCAACCATTTTCTCTGCTTTAATCTCCCTGTTGCACTACGCCTGTTATCGATAATTCAACTGTCGTTTATATCCCCATTCAGGCGGAAGTTCTTAACACTTCGCAAATCGTGCGTGCAAACAAAATTCAAGCAGAAAACAAAGTTACCTTCGCCTTCGACGATATTGCTAAAAATATCAAGTAAATATGGCGTACAATTTTCGTCATCGATAGCAACTAGCCTGTAGAAATAACATTTCCTTAGATGGATTTTAAATGTCTCATTTTCGATCCGTACTCCTCAGGGATATAGTGCATGTATGAAATCGCCTTCTAGATATATTTGCGGTTTCGTGCGTCACTTCAGATGTCACATCATATTTTCTTTTCTTTCATGTTATTTTCATGACTGGTAGGAGGCGGACAATATATAATTGCAGGCAGATGAAGCTTCAAAATGTCTGGGTAGGATGCCTTGTTGTCGCGTCTTATTGCGTTATTGTCCTGCATCGACCGTGTTGCATACTTGGGGGTCACCGATGTCCAAAGTTGGCCATCGAAGTGCCGTCGAAGAACTGGGTTATTTATGCGGCTGGTTCCGATGCTGGAGAAATCATCAACACCAATTTAATTCAGTTAATTGATGCTGGAGAAATCATCAACACCAATTTAATTTCAGTTAATTTCTCATTGGTCTTGACTCAACATTTTTTAAAGTCCACATGAAATGGTTTTCCAAGTGGAACTTTGCATTAATGGTACCGGAAACGGTTTTGTTTTACCAAATTACTATCATGGCTGTGATCATCTAATTGGAAAGGCAGCGGATAGAAGCCAAAAGGAATATACACATTTCACGGCCTGCGTTTGCTTTCAACAGCGATTCCTTGTTGTGCTACGATATTCCGATTTCCGTGGGGTAGATTCTGCCATCCCACTGAACTCAGATCTTACTGAGGTGCATAATGTGATTCACGTTATTCGCACACCAGTATCACCGTGCCTAGTGTTTTATGTTTCGTTATGTTAGACGGAAATAGGGCTTGCAAAAAAGCAATAGAATCTGAGAATTTCGATGTTGTTCATGCAATCAACCGTCTAAACTTGCTTTCTAGATTCCTCATATCAGAGAATCCGCTGTGCTGTAGGTTAAACTGTTCTCAAGAATAAACCGGATGTCAAAAGTCATAACAAAGACCATTTGCATCAGTCGTGGCACCGAAAATATCCATTCCGAAAGCACCAGAATTGCTAGGATATATGAAAATTAGAATAATAGTTCTATATTTTGATAATGTAGTGTGTATTTAGAAACAACCATGATAAACGTTTTTCGTCCGCATTTTGGCCTTATTTGCATGGGGTAAAATGAGAATCGTATTGGAAATTTTTCACATATTAAATGTGTCTGTATCCACCCAAAAGATTCTGTGGGTAATATTTTCCCTGCAATGTGTTTATCTGTCTGGTGTAGAAACGATCATATGCATCGAAAGTATTATTATCGGAGTCAAAGGATGCCAGAATTGTAGAGCTTCTGTACGCATACCGTTGTTGTGACACGAGGTAATTTGACGCCCCGCTCTACAAAGCTGGCTCTGTACTGGACTCCTGCTTTCATGGTCTTGGACCCTGTCTGCTAATTTCTTCGTGAATCGACTCAAATTAAGCTAAAATAATTTCTGGTCACAATGGAAATCACGTCAGCACCATTGGTACAAGTAGCATTATTAGTATTCCGGATCATCTCAGTATTGTTATCGGTTCAGTCGGTGACGGCTCCAAAAGACATTACATCAGCCAGTGTGACTGATCGAAATGTCCGAATGATTCATTCACAATCAAAGAAAGGCATCTTGTTGACAAGTATCAAGTCAGATCATTGAAAAGTTCTGTTAGAATGCCTCAAATAACAATCCATTTCAAGTTAACAAAGGACCCCGAAATGTTGTTTAGCAGCAATCCTTAAATAGCTGACTAATGGGAAATTTCGGCGATTACCACCAGCGGATGCTCTCAACCTTTGTCGGGTTTGAAGCATCGTAAAAAATATTTCATCATATTTCTGAAGCTTTGATTTGGTTGACAATTCGGATACTCAATGCTAGTTTACTTATTAGTCATGTATTAGTGTTACTGGTTCGCAGTTTACGCAACAGTGAAGTCATTAGGGCGGGCAGACGATACTGCTACAATACTGTATGTGGACGAGCCAGCGAACAGGTCAGGCTCTCCACTTCATGTGA